CTAGGCATGCCCTTTTTTATGCTTAATCTTATGTTTAATGTTTTTTAAATACTTATTGTATTTTGTTATGTCAGTGAAACTTTGGTAAGTATTGATGCTGCACAACTAAATCGGGCTGATGTTCTTACGATGTTCGGTGATGAGTGGGGTGGCAAATGTTGTGAGTGGATTACATAAATATTAACCCCATTCATATTTTTAGTCCATGTTAAATTTAGTTTTTTTTTTTTTTTTTTTTTTTTTTTTTTTTTTTTTTTGTCCTTAACATATGATTTTCCTTTCTTATAGGTAATTGATTGTTATTCGACGCTTCTAAACAAAAAATAGGATGAGAAGAAAATGAAGTACTATTTTTCCAGTTTTGATGTAAGTTGCATCAGGGATGAGAATGTGGAGTTTGTAAGTAATAAGGAGGAGCGCAGGAAACGCTTGGTGAGCGCTTGGGATAAATACTGCAGAAAATTAAAAACAAAGACCAGCGACTTTCATAAATCTAAGTTGGTATGTTATTTTCTTTAACAATCCATGTCTTCTGCCTATGGTTTCTGGTTGTGACAATATTCCACTACTAATATATGTCGTGTGTTTAACAGTTCTATTTCCCTGCATACGTCAGTAATCATTGGTTCTTGTTTATCATTCACCGTCCGGATAAGCTTATTCATTACATATGTAGCAGCGGAGTTGATTTTAGGCACACAAATTATGGTTTATTGGTGATATACAACTCTTTTATTCTAATTCATTTCATTTTTTAATTTGATATGATCATTTTGTTAGTAATTTTGTTTTCGTATTGCAGAAAGATTTTCTTGACATTGCACTAGGAGAGAAATTGGATTTTTATGATATCATAAAGCATTAAGATTTACCCGTGCAGCCTAACCCGTATGTTTGACTTTATACTTTTGAAATCTTTTTGTGATTTAACTTATTACCTATATGTTTGACACGAACTTACTCAGTAGCTCTCTTATACAATTTTTAATTATTGTTCAGACATTCATGTGGACTTTTTCTTATGAGGTTCATGGAGTTATAGGATGGCCGAAGATTGTTGGGAAGCTTCAACGTTAATATAATGTCATTGTGAAATATTTTTCTATTTTACAGTGGTTTAAACATGATATATATTTTTTCCTAACAATATTTTACTTCTATGTAACGGCACAGACGGACTCTACTGTGATCCGTATAGAAATGGCACTGCAACTTTTGACCGATCCTTTGAACGAATGTAGGCAAGAGATTTTGAATAACAGTGCCAAGTATGGGAGAAAAGTTAAATTTGCACCAGGTTGCAAGCTTTAATTTTAGGTGGTGATGAAACTGGTGCTATGTTAAGGTTTAATTTTTGTCAATGGAATGCCTTTTGTCATGAAAGTTACTTTGTTTTATTTTTGTCCTACCTTGTAACGATTCAGGCTTGTATGGGGCTATTATGTGAATGTTTTATACATGTTAGTTTTGTATAAATTTGGGTACAGGTTAGTTTTGTAAAAATTTGGGCTCTGTATTCATACTCTGAATCTGGTCAATCTTTAAACTACTTTTCATATCTCAACATGTTTATTTGGTTGATTCATTTAGGAAATCTAAGCTTATCAGAGCGTATATTTTATTGCCTTTATATGCTTTGCAAGTAAATGGTTGCACCCACTATGGTGTTTTTGAGTAGTTCACAGTTAATATTGATGTATCAAATTAAATAAATAAATACCTACTAGTGAGGTCTGAAACACACTCTATCCTCTGCATATTTTTTAGGGCCTTTTAAGGCGTCAAGTTTATTTATCTAGATTCTACGCACCATGGGTCATGTTCACCTCATTAACATATATCCTTTAGCAAGTCTCTAATGTCTTAAATTGTTCTCCATTTTCAAAATTGAAAGCTTTAAAGTAAGGCTGTCTTAAATTCTTCTCCATTTTCAGAACTGAAAGCTTTCATTGGAGACTTGTGTGATCCTTTGATGTAATTGAATACAAGGACATAGGAAATTAATCTTTTTTGTTTGAAATTATTCTGCAGCTCCATTTGTTATAGCTTGTTTAAAGTTAGGATCTTGTGGCATTTTGACTAGCAGTTCTGAATATTTACAAGTGTTTCTTATATAACTCTTTAATTTTAGTAAAAATTATAAGATACTCTTTATGCATGAGAAGACAAAATAGAATAAATGTCTGAATTAACATACTAAAAATTGTGGTTTGGCTAATTCATATAGTTTTGTATGTGATATTACTTATACAGCAAGGTGTGAATACTTAATTATGAAGGTGAAGATTGTATTTTTATTTTTTATTTTTTTAGTATTTTTTTTTTATGCTTTCTTATTAATATACACACGCCCCCCCCCCTCCCCACACACACACACACATATTATTTTCTTTATATTCACTTCAAATCAGAAAAACAGCGTGGTGAATTCAGATAATTTCATATGTGCTATTACTTAAATAGCAAGGTGTGAATACTTAGTTGAGATGGTGAATGTACTTAGAGGAGTTTTGCCGTTTCAACCAAATATCTATATATAATAGAGGAGTTGTAGATAAACTTAGTCATATCAAACAAGCAGTGCATTTAATTATACATTTACAACCAACACCTGTAACTTATTACACAATTTCATGTTCAACTAATCCTAACCTATCACATTAATTGGCTATGCATATTGACTATATATCCAACATAAGTTCTTCCCGTTCTGGTAAACCAATGGTTAACCTTCCCCCAAAAGGTAACCAGCATACACAAAACAAGTAGTCTAAAAATGAAAATAGAAGAACTCCCACCACCGTTGCTCAGTGAGGTGGTTAGTAGAGTGGTAGCAAATAATTTTCAAGACCTACTTCAACTTCAACAATGGTAAGGATTTAATTGTACATTATTGTTTTATGTTTATAATATTTTCTTCATTCATGAAATAAAAGTTAAAAGTGTTTAAATATGTGCAGTTCTCATAAGCTAGCTATGGTGTGTTTGGAGCCACATATGTTACGACATCTCAGTTTTAAATCCTTGTACGAAATACAAACGGGGGATACCAGTGATACTTACTATTTGCGATGCGTGTTCATGCAAAAGTGTGTTGATGATGGCAATTTGGATGCTATGTTTGTCTTTGGAATGGTACGTTGCTTGCACTCATTTTACTAAATTGTGAAAGTAATTTAATCGGGTTTTATTTTTAATAACTTTATATTGGATGTAGGAGCTATTTTTCTTGCATCAAAATCGGGCAGATGGGCTAAGTATTCTAACCAAAGGTGCATATCTTCAGCATACTGGTTGTAAGTTTGCTTTAGCCATTGCATTAATATATGGCAATGATGCTGATAAAGTAAATGGTATTCAACAACTTTCGAACATGAACACAGACATAACAAATAAACTAATCATAAAACATCGGAGGGAACAAATGATTTCATTAATGAAAAGAGAGTGGTCAAATGGGTTATTTCATAACATTCCTACTTGTTGTGAGGAAGATTATGGACCACCAAACTATGAAGGTAACATGGTTCATGTCAAATGGTGGATGGTCGAGCAAATAAATGAGGAGAAAATAAAATGTAATCTTTGCCATTGCGATCTCCACAGATTGATGGTGTCTGGCATCATTGGAGAAAAAGTCATAGTCAACTGATGATAACCGTTAACGTCGTTTTCTGTATGTAATGTGATATATGTGTATGTTTGTAATGTGATGTATGTAGTGTGATGTTGTATTTAACTTTTGAAGTAACATAATGGAACTTTGGAATGGATAATTTAATTAGCACTGTCTAACATAAAATCGCTATATGCAAGAGGCAATTAAGTATCGCCATCATTAGAGAAAATAGCCAGATGCCATTCACGGAACCATGTCACCTTGAAATTAATGGCTTCAACCTGTCCCAAATCATAAACAAAATGGACCAAACAACATATGTACACATACATATTTCAATTGACATAAATAGGGCTGAATAAAAATCCATTTCATTTTCCATATATACAAAACCCAAAAAACAAAAGTGAACAAGTTATCCATACATTTACAAATCTTTACACAAAAAGGGATGTATTTTTTATACCACCATATTCTGTTATCATCTATCAACCATAGCATATCTATACACCATCAATTTGTCAAGAATTTCTTAACTCAAAAAAAATTTTGCCGAGCTGGAGGATCGATCTCGGATGTTGTCTCCTCCAACATTGGCATCAAATTACGGTCACCACTGGTGTGATCCACATCCTTAAAATGGATCATACAAAAACACTGTTTGTACATACGTTAATTAATGCAAAGTTAAAACATACATGTTTAGAATATATTGCAGAAGCATAAATTTTATAAGAGATAAACTTACAAGATAATATGAGAATCGGCATTCATGATACGAAACAAATGGAGTCCCCTGCCAATATATTCTCAATGTTCATTAACTAATGGATTTCAAAAGTATGAAATAATGTTCATTAATTTTTATACACCTAGTTCAGAATAAAAGTTTGTTTATACTTGTTCAGTTGGTGGAGTCTTGGGATGACTGAAGTTAGTGGTAGGACAATATGTCATTTGGTCGATATTTGTTTCCGAATGTAAATGTGCACATGGGTGATGATCTTCGTAAATCCAAGTGGCGTCACTAGGAATGTCACAACCCTTATTTCAATGTAAACATTCTTAATTAAGAGATTATCGTACTGAAAATTATAATAATATATAAAAAATAAAAAATCAATGTTTTTATTTAAGAAAAGGAGAAAACTCACATTCAAATGTACATATGTAATAGGTGGCACGGTACCACTGCTACCTACCCCTGCACCAACACTGTTGTTGCCATTTGAATTCTACAAAACAATAGATTTATTCATTATAAAAACAAAATTATGACATTGCTAATATCAAAATGTTAATGACATATACTGGAAAATTAAATTATCAAATAATAAAAATAAATTAAATTAACCTTTCGTTTCGCATAGTTTTTTTTTCTCTACATGTATTGTTCAAACTTATTCTTCTTCCTGCGCCTTGGTCCCTTACCACCTGTTTCTTTATTCTTTATACCCTTGGCATTACTTTCGGTCACGGCTTGCCCAATGATACTTTCATTATGTTCATGATTATTACTTCTTTCAACTGAAAAAGCTGAATTGGTTGCCTTTTGTTCAACATCGGAACATTGCCTTTCAACATTAATGTGTTTCCTTTTCCATTTCATCCCCTTTAGCATCAAATTATTGAATACCTCTTCTTTCTCGGATGCAAATGAGTTGATTTCTGTAAAAAAATGACATAACATCCTATACCTTCTGCGTACTTCAAGTTTAGGATCAGCAATAACTTCACATCCACGGATGTCTTGTACGCTATTATCCTTAGCTTTTCTCATCCACCTTTTTAGTATATACATAGAAGGTAATTCTTTGAAATAATGAGTGTCGTCTTTCAGTACTTTAAGTACATGGCTGCACAAAATACCTTCCATTGCATATTTCCCGTACGAACAACTTAGAAAGCCATCATCCCACCTTGTCAAAGTCCGATCCATATTGCCATCATGAACAGATACTCTAGAAACACGTAATCCATTTTCATCTAAACTTGTTCCTTCCACGGTAGCAACCACACAAGCTTCTATGAATTGGTCCTGGAAAAGTTCAAAAATCTTCAACGTGTACATATTGCCCACTTGTTTTAGAATGGGACAATTTTGTTTAAGTCTAGATAGTTTACTGAATAAACCATACTCAGCTTGATATTCCTTGTACCGTTTGTCTGACAATAACCTGTCAAGGTGCATGAAGAAATCTGGAATACTCATTTTCCTGGTTAAGTACTCTTTCAAGCAGCTATTTAGACTTTCACTCAGCTGCGTTGTCCGCATTCCAACGGTAAACCAATGTTTAACAAATGGATAACCCCATTTTTCTCTCAAACCAAACAAATTGTTCAACCATGTGTTACCAACAACATTGTAGTCCCTTAACATTACATCCCATTGTATACAAAAATCATCTTCATCATCATAACAGTACATGAATTGACTCAGCACACTTTTAATCCTTTCATCATTCCTAAAAATGGTGCCTACATGCTTCTGTGCATTTGTCATGATGTGCCACGTGCAAAGTAAATGTCTTGTCCTCGGCATAACTTGTGCCAGCGCCTTTGCCATTGCACCATTTGGTCAGTAAGAATTGTTTGTGGTGCTTTACCTAACATCACATTCAAGAATATATCAAAAAGGCATGTAAATGAATAGGCAATCTTATTATACATCATTACTAAAATTTTTAACAGTATTGAAAATTTAAAGGCAAGAACATTATGGCCCAATAAAATATCTTTATTTGAAAAAGTAATTCACATAAAAAAGGTAAAAAAGAATGGCCATGTTCAATTATTAAAGGCTTAAAACATATATATATATATATATATATATATATATATAGGATGACCAAAATAATTGCAACAAAAAAAAAAAAATACCTTTATAGTATTTACTTGACATTGCATTCAAGAATGAATCAAATAGCCACACAAAGGAATTGGCAGTCTCGTCATACATCAATACTAGTCCAAAAACAGCAGTCTCCCGATGATGATTCAAACCAAGAAAAGCTGCAAAAGGACGATTGCTTTGGACGAGCTTGTATGTCGTGTCGAATGTGACGACGTCTCCAAAATGCCCATAGTCAATTATCATTCTCTAATCTACCCAGAAGATATTAGTTATCATTTCATCGCTATCCAATTGCACGGTGTGGAAAAATGAAGGATTCTCGTAAGATTGAATTTTGAAATAATTCATCAGCCATGTCTTCTCTCTGTATTCTAACTCACTCTGTCTTCTTGTGCTTAGAAAATTTTGTTGATCAACTTTAGTGTAGCTAATTGATTGCATCCCACCAGCCTGCCTACTCATTAACTCAAATGCATTACTGAGTGGAACTCCAGATTGGCAGGCCAATTCCACATCAATTGCTTGGGCAACACTTATTCTTCGTTGTGATGGCATCATATGTGTGCATTTTTCAATTATCATAGGATGATTGTGAGATTCGAAAAAATTATATGCAACATACTTTCCCTTCTTGCGGTCATATCTAATTTGCATCAGTGCACCACAACCGGTTCAAGTTTCAGCCCTGGGCTTTCTTGTATGGATATCCCTCTTGTCCTTCACCCTAAAACCTTGTTTGGAACACACAAACTTGCTTGTTGTAATATTTGCTATCTTACGCCTTTTATTTGCATAATCCTTACGAATACTGAATCCAACTTTACCCCCATAAGCATTGTAAAAGTCGTATGCTTCACCCTCAGTGTCAAACTGCATGTTCAATTTTGGTGTGAATTCTATGTCAATGGGATTGACAACTTCTGCTACTAAGTTTTCAGAAATATTGATTTCGGCAACGATTAGAACGCTTGTTCTCACATCATTAGTACTTAAGTCGTCGTCCATTGGGATAACTTCAGTATGAATGCTACAAGAAGCAAAAGGTCCATCAAAACGTTAAAGTTAGTTTCTATAACTTGTGACAAAAAAAAAAAAAATACTAAATATTTACCAAACTAATGAAAAGGGCTAAAAAATCGTACAATTATCCAAGATTTCAGATACACTAGAATGCTTAACCAATGTCAATTTCAAGTTAAAAAATATTATAATTTACAATAACTGATGACAAATAAAAGAATTAAAAATTGTTAACTTTAGGTGTGAAATTAGTTTTGCAGAGGTGTGAAATTAGTTTGCAGAACTGTGTGAATAGCTTATTTTGATGGTGAAGGTGATTAGTGTCCCTACTTATTAGACTTCACAATATTTTTTTCCTCATAAATATCACATAATAACCTGTGAAATGCGTAATTGCCGCATACAAGAGAAGACAAAATATTTGGATAACACATTAGTACCTAATGAAGTCAACTCAGTTAAAAAAAAAAAAAAAAATTATGGAAGATTATAGAAAAAAATCTTACAATTATCCAAGATTTCAAAAACGCTATAATGCTTAACCAATGTCAATTTCAAGTAAAAAAATATCATAATTTACACTGACGGATGACAAATGAAAGAATTAAAAAATGTTAAATTTAGGTGTGAAATTAGTTTTGCTGAACTGTGTGAATAACTTAATTTGATGGTGAAGGTGATCAGTATCCCTACTTATTAAACTTCACAAGGTATTTTTTCTCATAAATGTCACATAATAACCTGTGAAATGTGTAATTGCCACATACATGAGAAGACAAAATATTTGGATAACACATTGGTACCTAATGAAGCCAACTCAGTTAAAAAAAACAATTATGGAAGATTTTACATTCACTAGAATGGTTATTAAAGATTATAGAAGAAAATCCTACAATTATCCAAGATTTCAAATACGTTAGAATGCTTAACCAATGTCAATTTCAAGTAAAAAAAATATCATAATTTACACTAACGGATGACAAATGAAAGAATTAAAAAATGTTAAATTTAGGTGTAAAATTAGTTTTGCAGAGGTGTGAAATTAGTTTTGCAGAACTATGTGAATAACTTAATTTGATGGTGAAGGTGATCAGTGTCCCTACTTATTAAACTTACAATGTATTTTTTCTCATAAATGTCACATAATAACCTGTGAAATGTGTAATTGCCGCATACATGAGAAGACAAAATATTTGGATAACACATTCGTACCTAATGAAGCCAACTCAGTTGAAAAAAATAATTATGGAAGGTTTTACATTCATTAGAATGGTTATTGAAGATTATAGAAGAAAATCCTACAATTATCCAAGATTTCAAATACGCTAGAATGTTTAACCAATGTCAATTTCAAGTAAAAAAAAAAATCATAATTTAAACTAACAGATGACAAATGAAAGAATTAAAAAATGTTAAATTTAGGTGTGAAATTAGTTTTGCAGAACTGTGTGAATAGCTTATTTTGATGGTGAAGGTGATCAGTCTCCATACTTATTAAACTTCATAATGTTTTTTTTCTCATAAATATCACATAATAACTTGTGAAATGCGTAATTGCCGCATACATGAGAAGACAAAATATTTGGATAGCACATTGGTATCTAATAAAACCAACTCAGTTAAAAAAAAAACAATTATGGAAAATTTTACATTCACTAGAATGGTTATTGAACATTATAGAAAAAAAATTCTACAATTATCCAAGATTTCAAATACGCTAGAATGCTTAACCAATGTCAATTTCAAGTAAAAAAATATCATAATTTACACTAACAGATGACAAATGAAATAATTAAAAAATGTTAAATTTAGGTGTGAAATTAGTTTAGCAGAGGTGTGAAATTAGTTTAGCAGAGCTTTGTGAATAACATAATTTGATGGTGAAAGTGATCAGTGTCCCTACTTATTAAACTTCACAATGTATTTTTTCTCATAAATGTCACATAATAACCTGTGAAATGGGTAATTGCTGCATACATGAGAAGACAAAATATTTGGATAACACATTGGTACCTAATAAACCCAACACAGTTAAAAAAAACAATTATGGAAGATTTTACATTCACTAGAATGGTTATTGAAGATTAGGGAAGAAAATCCTACAATTATCCAAGATTTCAAATACACTAGAATCCTTAACCATTGTCAATTTCAATTAAAAAAATATCATAATTTACACTAACGGATGACAAATGAAATAATTAAAAAATGTTAAATTTAGGAGTGAAATTAGTTTGTCTGAGTTATGAAATTAGTTTTCTAGAACTGTGTGAATAACTTAATTTGATGGTGAAGGTGATCAGTGTCCCTACTTATTAAACTTCACAGTGTTTTTTTTTTCTTTCTCATAAATATCACATAATAACCTGTGAAATGGGTAATTGCCGCATACATGAAAAGACAAAATATTTGGATAACACATTGGTACCTAATGAAGCCAACTCAGTTAAAAAAAACAATTATGGAAGATTTTACATTCACTAAAATGGTTATTGAAGATTATGGAATAAAATCCTACAATTATCCAAGATTTCAAATACACTAGAATGCTTAACCATTGTCAATTTTCAAGTAAAAAAATATCATAATTTACACTAACGGATGACAAATGAAATAATTAAATTATGTTAAATTTAGGCGTGAAATTAGTTTGTCTGAGTTATGAAATTAGTTTTGTAGAACTATGTGAATAACTTAATTTGATGGTGAAGGTGATTAGTGTCCCTACTTATTAAACTTCACAATGTTTTTTTTTTTTCTCATAAATGTCACATAATAACCTGTGAAATGTGTAATTGCCACATACATGAGAAGACAAAATATTTGAATAACACATTGGTTCCTAATGAAGCCAACTCAGTTAAAAATAATAATTATGGAAGATTTTACATTTACTAGAATGGTTATTGAAGATTATAGAAGAAAATCGTACAATTATCCAAGATTTCAAATATGCTAGAATGCTTAACCAATGTCAATTTTAAGTAAAAAAAATATCATAATTTACACTAACAGATGACAAATGAAAGAATTAAAAAATGTTAACTTTAGGCGTGAAATTAGTTTTGCAGAGGTGTGAAATTAGTTTTGCAGAACTATGTGAATAACTTATTTTGATGGTGAAGGTGATCAGTGTCCATACTTATTAAACTTCACAATGTTTTTTTCCTCATAAATATCACATAATAACCTGTGAAATGCGTAATTGCCGCATACATGAGAAAACAAAATATTTGGATAACACATTGGTACCTAATGAAGCCAACTTAGTTAAAAAAAAACAATTATGGAAGATTTTACATTCACTAGAATGGTTATTGAAGATTATAGAAGAAAATCCTACAACTATCCAAGATTTCAAATACACTATAATGCTTAACCAATGTCAATTTCAAATAAAAAAAATATCATAATTTACACTAACCGATGACAAATGAAAGAACTAAAAAATGTTAACTTTAGGTGTGAAATTAGTTTTTTAGAGGTGTGAAATTAGTTTTGCAGAACTGTGTGAATAAGTTAATTTGATGGTGAAGGTGATCAGTGTCCCTACTTATTAAACTTCGTAATGTTTTTTTCCTCATAAATATTACATAATAACATGTGAAATGTGTAATTGCCGCATACAT